GAGTTGTTTAGCATCATACTGTTTAGTGTCCATATCTTTGTGGGTTTAGCGGGGACCTTGTTGGTGTTAATCATTATTTTTATTCCAAGTGGTCCGAGAAGGTGCATGGTAAAATTTCAGTCCTTTTAAATTTGCTTATGCTTGATTTATGGCCAAGTAGGTGGTCAATCTTAGAGTACGTTCCATGCGGTGATGAGTAGAATGTGTATTCTGTGGTCTTTGGATGGAGGGTTCTGTAGGTATCAATTAAGTCCATTTGATCAAGAGTCACATTGTGGTTTCTGATCTCGTTATTGATTTTTTGTCCTGATGATCTGTCTAAGGTTGTGAGTGTGGTATTAAAGTCCCCAGCTATGATGGTATTGGAGTCGATATCTTTTTTTAGTTTACCTAGGAGCTGCTTTATGAAAGTTGGTGCTCCTATGTTTGGTGCATTTATGTTTAGGATGGATATTTCTTGTTGATGGATTGTACCTTTTATCATTATGTAGTGTCCTTCTGTATCTTTTTAAATTTTTGATAGCTTAAAGAGTATTTTGTCTGAGATTAAGATCGTGGCTCCTCCTTTCTTTTGTGTTCCATTCACCTGAAAATTTGTATCCCATCCTCTTACTATGAGTCTGTGGATGTCCTTTCTAGTGAGGTGAGTCTCTTGAAGGCAACAGATTGTTGCCTGGTGATATTTTACCCATTTTGCCATTCTGTGTCTTTTCAGTGGTGCATTTATTCTGTTCACATTCAAACTACTTATTGAAATGTGAGAGTTGATCCCTATCATAATGTTCTTACAGAGTTGTTTTTCTTCCTGTTTGTGTATTTTCTTTCTTTTGGTTTTAGAGTTGGATCGTGTGTGTTTTTAATCTTTTGCCTGTACTCTTGTGAAGAACGTTGTTGTTCTTTTTTCCTTTTCTTCTGTGTTCAATACTTTCTTAAGTGTTTCTTGTAGAGGTGGTCTTGTGGCAGCATAGATTCTTAGGTATTGGATAGCTGGGAAAGATTTCAGTTCTCCCTCACTGATGAAGCCTAGCTTGGCTGGGTAGGTTATTCTCAGTTAAAATTGTTTATCTTTTAGAACTTCGAAGATAGGGCTCCAAGCTCTCCTAGCGTGGAGGCTTTCTGTAGATACATCTTGCTGCTATTCCATTTGGTCTTCCCTGGTACGTAGTCTGACTTTTTTCTCTTGCAGACTTTAGGATTTTTTCTTTTATACCTACTTTGTTTAGGTGAATTATTATATATGTGGGAGTTGATGTTCTCATTTGTTGTCTTGCAGGGGTTCTCTAAATCTCTTGTGTTTGAATTTTTCATCCTTGATGAGATGAGGGAAGTTTTCTTGAATGATTTCATGAAATGTTTGTTCCAGTGTGGCCTCTGTTTCTCTCTCTGCCTCAGGAAGGCCAATTACTCTTAGGTTTGGTCTCTTGAAGTGATCATTCATCTCTTGAAGGTTTTGTTCTCTCTTTTGAGCTTCTTTTCTTTGCTTTTGACAGTTTGGGTTAGTTGTGTGTTTTGGTCTTTGAGCTCTGAGATTGTTTCTTCTGCTTGGCTAATTCTTCTCTCCATTCTTATTAGTTTGCTATTTATTTCCATCACAGTATTCTTTACTACTGTTATTTCTGACATCAGCTCCTTCCTATTTTCTTCTCTCCTCAATTTTTTTAATTCTCTCTATTAATGTCTTGATATCTGGGTTTGTTGCATGTGACCAGTCATTCTGGGGGCTCTTCATTGTTTGTGTTCCGGAATCTGTTTTCTCAGTGTCTTATCTCCCAGGGGTCTGTGTGAGACGTATATTCTTCTTTTGGTTTTTCTTCATTTGTGCGGTTTTTTTCCCCCTCCCTACTTTTTCCTTCCCTCCACGTCACCGTCTTCTTTAATTCTGTTATTTAGGGGTAGAGGGATTGGTTTTACTTGTTTGTTCAATCTCCTATTCTTTATGTATGTCCTCTTTGCTCAATTCTGGAGTTGCACTGTATGTTGGGGGTGGTCCTTTTTGCAGTTTTGAGATTTACTTAAGTGGGGATCTGTGATTCATAATCTGTCTGCAGGTCCTGGTATTCCTGACAGGTGTATGGATAATCTGAAACTCACTTCTCACTGCCTTGGAATCTGTCCATTCAGTGGGGCTGTAGGTTTACTCCCTGAAATAAAATGTCGTTAGCAGAGGGAAGAGAATGGAGCAGAGAGTGGGGGGAAGAAGGGGGTGGAGAGAGAGAGGAGTAAGGGGGTAAACAGTTGGGTGTACCAACAAATGGAGAGAGAGACCTAAACTGTAACAGATAAAAATAATAGACCACGGCTACGGACTAACCAACTCCCATGCAAAAAAATAAAACATTCAATGATGCTAACATACAAGCTAACCAACCACCTTTCTGGTGTGCTGTTCCTCTGTACAAAGATATGGTTTATAGAGAAGAGAAAAAAGAAGAAAAGGAAGAGGGAAAGAAAAGAAAAAAAAGGAACAAAGCAGTGGGAATAGAATTAAGTCATTAAACTAACAGAACCAATCGAGGAGCACAGTCTGAGACTTTTCATTTAAGTCCAATATCCTTTCAGCTCTGGTAGTTAGTTGTCTTTTCAAGCTGGTAAATTAGTTCGCAGTTAGGGTCAGATGCCCCTGGCCTGCTGTGAAGGACAGTTCAGATCACCCTCTGTTCACCACTCAAATCTGGCCTGTGTCTGTTTTTCAAGCTTGCTTCTCCCATTTCCGTGTTGTTACTTTGAATCACCAGCCGGTGGTACTGTCTCAGCTGCTCGCCCCAGAGGGGGTGGAGCCGGGGAGCCTGCCTCAGGGCACACGGGAGGAGACCCACGTCCAGCAGGACGTCACCATGGCAGCAGAGGTGGCAGCGATCCCAGCAGATCCTGTCTGCAGGGGTTTCAAGGCCTCAAGTCATGGATCGCCTCAGGCACGGGTGGCGCAATGCACTATGGCCGCTATGGAGACTGCGGCTGCAGTGGCTGTCCAGACCGCTGCGATTCCCCAGTGGTGGCGACGGCGAGCTCTGTATGAAGAGCAGGCTGCCGATGGTTGGGTCCACAGCCCCCCGGGCTGCCGATGGTTGGGTCCAAAGCCCCCGGGGGGAGAGCCAGAGACCCTCTGTCTTCTCCTTTTCAGAGGGTTTCATAGACCAGGTTGCCCGGTGTTGCTGGAAGTCCCATGTTTAATTCTTGCCGGAAGTCCCGTGTTTAATTCTTTAAGTGTTTCTTGTAGACCTGCTCTGGAGGGAGGTAGCATAAACTCTTAGGCATTGAATGTCTGGGAAGGATTTAATTCTCCATCACTGATGAAGCTTTGCTTAGCTGAATAAATGATTCTTTTTTTAAATTGTTTATCTCTGAGAACTTTGAAGCTTGGGTTCCAAGCTCTCCTAGTTTGAAGTGTTTCTAAAGATAAATCTACTGCTATTCTCACTGGTCTTCCTCGGTAGGTAATCTGACCTTTTTCTCTTGCTGCCTTTAGGATTTTTTTCTTTTATACCTACTTTGTGTAGGCAGATTATTATGTGTTTAGGAGTTGGTGTTCTCATTTGTTGTCTTTCAAGGGTTATCTGAATCTCTTGTGTGTGAATGGTTTAAAAGTCCAAATGTTTGTTTTTCTAGCTTTTCTTTCCAATGACAGGAATCCAAGAGGAAGCCTTTTGGGGCAAGCACCACAGGCAGCCCCCAGCCTCTGGCTGCCTTAGGACTTGGGAACTGATTGTCTGGCTCAGCAGCCATCATGGGCTGCAGTGGCCACACTGCTGTGGGCCAGGAAAACTATTGACTAACTATGGATGGTGGTTGGGGGTGAGATGAGGGAAATTTTCACTGATGAGATGAGGGAAATTTTCTTGGATAATTTTGTGGAATGTTTGTTCCAGGGTGTCTATGTCTCTCTATCTGCCCCAGGGAATTCAATTAATCTTTGGTTTGGCCTCTTGAAATAATCACTCTTGTCTTGAAAAGTTTTGTTCTGTCTTTTTAAGCTTCTTTTCTATGTTTTTAACAGTTTGGATCAGTTCCATATTTTGGTCCTCAAGCTCTGAGATTCTTTCTTCGGCTTGATTAATTCTCCTTTCCATGCTTCTTAGTTTGTTGTTTATTTCATTCACTGTTTTCTTTATTGCTGTTATCTCTGTCATCAACTCCTTCATTCTTTCCCCTTGCCTCTCTTCATTTCTTTTTTTTCTCTCTATTAATATCTTCATTTCTGTGTTTGTGGTTTGAGGTCACTCATTCTGCGGGCTTTTCATTGTTTGATTTCCGAAGTTTGTATTCTCAGTGGTTGACCTCCCAGGGATCTGTGTGAGACTCATATTCTGTCTTTGGTTTTTTTTCATTTGTGTACGTTTTCCTCCTCCCTCCTTTTTGTTTTTTTTTGTTTTTTTTTTGTACCTGTTCTTTAATTCTGTTGCTCAGTTATGGGGAGATAGCCTGTATTTCTGTTTGCTGAATCCCTTTCTTTTCCTTATGTAGCTTCTCTGATTTTGTTCACTTCTGAAGTTGTACTGTGGATGGAGGGCTGTTCTTTTGGCAGTTTGAGATTTAATTGAGGGGGAGCTGTGATTCAGAAACTATCTATAGATTCTAGTATCCACTAACAGGTATGTGGGCCCCCTGGAACCCACTTCCCACTACCTTACAATTTGTTCTTGCAGTGGGAGTGCCTGTCCACTGAAAGTAAAATGAGATAAGAAAAGGGAAAAGAATGAAAAAGGAAAGAGGAAGACAAAAGGGCAGTTAAGAGAGAGAAGAAGGATAGGGAGAAAAGACAGGCATACCTACTAATAAATAGAGAGTAAAACAAAGGCAGAAAAAACAAAAAAGACAAAAACATACAGATAATTATACAAACAAACAGAAACCACCCTGTTGGTGTACGCTCCCTCAAAATACCCTTACATGAACAGAAAATCTAGAAAAAAACATTAAAATAACACAAAGCAAGTACAAAAATGGAAACAAAAACAGAAAGAGAGAAGGAAAAAAAGCTAAAATTAAAACAAAAAATAAACAAGAGAAAACAGAAAACTCTTTCTGTGGCTGTTTCTGTGGCCCCAGGTTTCTTTCAGGCCTCCATCTTAGGGAGCCGCTCTGGTCTCCAGCCCTTCCCCTCGGTTCTCAGTGCAGGCTGTTAGTGTTGCTGTCAGCATGGGTCAGATGCCCCAGGGACTACTGTGGGAGGAGAATGGATCAGATCAGGACTCATCCTACTGGATCCTGCTGCTGTAAAGTCTCCCAGTCAGTTCTGATGTGTCTATGCCTGTTCCAGTGTGGGGGAGTGGCATCTGTCGTTCAGAGTCTGATGAGGAGATAGCCTCTCTGTCCCAACATGGAGACTGGTGGAGCTGGGCAGGGCAATGCAGGTTTCTGCCCTTCCTGGGACTGAGCAGATGGCACCTGATGGCATTTCGTCACTGGCATTGGAACTTTATTCCAGATTTCCACCACCTGCCTCCTCCTGCTTGTGCTCAGTCTGCTACTGCAGATTTTGGTGTGGGCCGGGTACCAGGTGGTGAGGGGTGGCTGTTCTCTGCTGCCACCTCTCAAAAGAGACCCGAGAACAGCAGATGATCCTGTGTGCCTAGGTCTCCAATCTCAGAGTGGTGGTGCATTGCAGTCACCTTCAGAGGAGAGCCCTGGGTGCAAGAACCGGAGTCTCCCCTCAGACTGACTTTCACTCACCCACTAGTACAACCACTTATGCAGAGAGTCTCATAGTCCGAGCTGTTCCATTGCCATCTTGCCCAGAAGCCAGTGTTATGTTTTTAATTTTAATTTTTCTGCCTTGGATTCTACAAATAATCTTATGGATTTGCTGCTTGGATGTTGTGTAAATATGAAATTCAGCATCGGTCATTCACAATTGATGTTATTACTCATTAATTGCCCTTGCCTAAATTGTTTCATTAGGAAATTTGCCTTTCATTAAATTATTGTCATTTTATAAATGGAATTAATGTCCAAAAGTGAGAAAACATTGCTGAAGGCATCAGAGTAGCCAAATTTAGTTAATCACTGCAAAATATGTTGTTTTACATTCAAAAGTCTGAAAGGTGGGTGGGTGGGGTGGGATAGGGGATGAGAAATTGGTTGCAATGTACACTATTCGGGTGATGGTTATGCTAAAAGCCCAGAGTTCACCACTAGGAAATATATGCGGGAACCTCCACAAGAAAACCAGAATCTATTTATAATAAATTGCATATTTATTCTTACATGTTTAAACTTAAGTCACCTTCAAAGTACTCTCTGTTTGATGCAATATACCTGTTGAGACACTTTTTCCACTGCACAAAACAGTTTAGGAACTCATCGATTTTGATGCCTTTTAGTGCTTCTTCTGGTATTTGTTTCTCTTCCACATTGGCAAAATGTTTTCTGTTGAGGACCTTTTTCATCTGGGGAAACTAAAAAATGTTGCTCGGGCGAGATAGGGTGAACAGAGAGGTTGGGGCATGGGAGTCATGCTGTTTGAAGTCTTCAAATGCGTTGAAAGAATCTCCTAAAAAATTTCTCTTAAAGTGAATGCAACTTCTCATGACTTCACTAGCTGGTACACTGATGTTGATGAGTTCCTAGAGCATCTTCCTATTGGGGGAAGCTTGTATTACAGGAGGCCACCCTCCAACAAATAATTCCGAATTTTTTGGTTCTCCCCATAGCTATATAGCAAAACTTGTACCCCCTTAATCTATTTTAAAAAATTGTCACTCTAGATTTTATCTTATTTTTATTTTCTTATAGAGACAGATTGTTGCTATGTTACCCAGGCTAGTCTTGAACTCTTGGGCTCAAGTGATCCTCCAATTTCTGCCTCCTAAAGTACTAGGATTACTGGCATGAACCACTGCAGCTTAGATTGTATTTTTATTACCTGACTTTTTAGCAAATTTATCCTTCTGTCTATGTGATAATAGACTCTCCCCCGACTTTATCATTATTCTGGTTTTCTGTTATCAAAACTCAGGATAAATGTGATTAAATTTATATTTTATTTAATTTCTATAAAATGAATTGTCAGGTTCTATCAGATTTACCTTTGTAGTATATCAAGAATTATCTTTAGTATCTATACTATCATCATATCATTTCTAAAGTGTATGCCACAATGCATGACTCCTAGTAATTATTCAAAAGATGATAATTTACTATTATTATTTTTAGTTCACTAGGGTATCCATCCCATAATATATAATATATCCTAACACTTTTAGCATACTGTAATTTGATCCCTTCCTATTGATTCTCCAGTTTTCCTTTGTTCTAATGCATTGTATGCACAGTAGTTATAATAATTAGGCTACTGAGTATTTGAAAATGATAATACGAGAGGGAGTGGGGAAAAAAAAGAAAATGATAATACTTGTTAGTTTGTTCTTTGGAAGGTATAAATATGGTCCCTTGATGATTACTCATGACTTAATCACTTTTTAAAAGGCCCTGTCTCTTAATATCATCTTTTGGGGATAGAGTTTCAGTATAAATTTTGGAGGAGACATATTCAAACTATAGCAATGTATATAACTGTGAAACTGTCAGCATAAATCAAGATAGTGAACATATCTATTAACTCCAGTAGTTTCCTGTGCCCATTTGTAGTTCCTACTTCATTCCTTTTTTTGAATTCTACATACAGATTGAAAATTAATATTACAAGGCATACTTCTTTGGTGTGGATTAAGATATGATTCTTTTTGAGTGTTAGTTTAGGACTGTGAAGCAACACTGTGTAATAGTAATACAATGCAAACCATATGTATTTTTAAACTTGACAAATAAAAGTTGTATATATTTATTACATATAACATGTTGTTTTGAAATATTATACATTGTTCATTTTTACTACTCTGTAGATTTATATTTTATAGATATGCCATATTTTGTTTATATATTCATCTGTTGATGTTCATTTGGTTGGTTTCCTGAACTTGTCTATCAGAAATAAAGCTACTATGAACAATTGCATGAGTATCTTTATATGGAAATATGCTTTCATTTTTCTTGGGTAAATACCTGGGAAAAGAAGGGCTGAATCAGATCGTAAGTGTATAAGAAGTTTTGAAGAAGTTGCCAAACTGTTTTCCAAGGTGATTTATCATATTACATTTCTAACAGTAGATTATAAGACTTCCACTTCCTCTACATTCTAG